TATGAATAGACATACGAATTCATTTTAAGTTTCTCGGTTTCTTCCTGCTCTTCTTTTATCTTTCCCTGTCCTTATTTTTCTTCAATATACAATACAAATAAAGTTATAAGGACACTTACACTCATATATATATTTATATGTTCATGTATTCCTTTATTTATCTTGAGCATATAGAAGATGATCAAGTGAAGTTATAAGAAGAAATGGAGATGTAATGGGAATCAAGATGTATGTAATTCCTCCATCTATCTTAAATATATGTAAGATGATCAAGTGGATGTATAACTGAAAGTGAAGTTACAAGAAGACATTGAGAAATGTGAATGCTATATTTTATTCTAGTTCATGTTATATTATATGTTAAGTTGTTTATATTCTAATATCATGTTCAATGAAATGTTTGTGTTATGGAATCATCTTCATGTGATGTTGTGAAATGTTATCCTTGTTCTGAAGTTCTATTCAAGTGATGCCAATGTTGTTACTATTATATAGGTCAAAAGTCTCATCATATTGGTCAATTGCAAGCAATCTAAACTCTATTGGAATCGAAAGCCAGAGAATTACATTAATTATGGTTGAAGATTCTTGAAATTCATGATGAGGGATAAATTTATTTCTCCCTTAAAAAAAATTCTTCTTGAGCAAGTCATTGTGACTCATCTCTCATAACATCAAGAGGAATGTCAATAAAATAATGTTAATTTAAGTTCTCTATCATTGGTGTAGAATTGTGAATTAATCGAGCAACACAATATGGATGTGTTGCAGTAGTAGTGATCGAGTGATCCTGATGAGGTTATGTTAGAGGGGGATCCATAATATAAGAAGATGTTACTTGAGTGACATGAAATAAATCAACCTTAATTTGTTGTTGATTTTGTGATAGAAAAAACTTCAATGTGTTGTGACGGTATTCTTTCTTATATGACCTTCTCTAAAAATTGTAGGATTTAAACTTGAAGTTCTTCCATTATATGCATATAATCCTCCAAAGTGAGGTTTGAGTGATCTTCATCACCTATATTGTATTGTTCTTGATTGAGAGGTTGATTGCTAATCATGAAGAAAAAATATTTCTTTATTATGTTGTTGTATAATTTTACTATCAGCTATGTATGATTTCTCAATTCATATGATATTTTATTATTTCAGTTCTAACAGCTGTTTATTGCTTTTGTATTTGTAACGATTCTTATTTGGTTAAGGTCTTAAAATTAGTTTGTATGTATGCTGGATAAATCTTATGTTTTGATAGTTTTGTGGTAATGTGATTCAGTTTTAAAATTTGTATTTAAGTATAAAATAAATAAAACTAAATAACAAGGTATTAATTTCTATTCAAATGAAAATTATCGGAACCTTGGTGTGGAGTCAATATTATGGTTCAATCATTTTAAAAACATACTTGAGCTTGATCTGTGAGTTTGAGGTCACTGAGAAGGATCATGATGATGAATGTTAGGTGGAGAAGGTGTCGATGGTGGAATATACGACATCACATGAGCTATTTTGAGAAGAATTTGATGACAATGAGAGGAAGTTGTAATGCGAGCTTTGTGGAGAAGTCACTGATGGGATCAGTGCTTGAGGTGCTTGAAGAAAAAAAAAAAGGGATAGCCTTGAAGGTGCCGACAGCGGTGAGTAAGTCACTATTGAATGTTTTGACGGTAGCGAGAGGATGTTGTTGGAGAAGTCACAGATTGGATCAACAACAACACTGTTTCAAGAAAGGGACGCTAAAATTGGACCCATGATATTTGAAGAAGCAGAAGAAGATTGCAACTTGCAATGGGATTTGAGCAACAATATTTATTTAGCATGTCCTAAATGAGCAGGCATGAACTTAAGATTTAATATAAAACGTTAAGAAAATAGGATCCATCATGACATTCTCAATCTTTTGGCGAAAATATAGGGAAAAAATGAGGATTATTTAATCAAATCAATTAGCGAGCGAATGAAAATAGCCTTGTAAAGCTCGTGTTCAAACTTGTTTGATATAGAAGCTGCAATCTAAGCTTGAGTTATTGGCTTGATAAACTTGAGTCACATGTTAGTTAGCATGCAAAAGGGTGTCAATTATGCCCCCAAGTTTGGACATTAATAAACTCCAAGTATCCAAAGCAATAAGAAAAATGAACTATTATTTTATAATAATTTTTTAAGTTGTTGGCATCTCAAATTACTATTTATCTTCCTACTCTGCATCATGATCTTAACTTTCATAAATTGCAATATTCGATTTCTCTAAGGAAGAAGAAGTGTGTTTATCATAGTAGCTATCGTTAAAGATAGCATTTTATGTTATTGCCTTGCTTCAGTGAACTAACAATTAAAACCCCTTGATTCTCTTGAGATAGACACCAGCTTGGGTTTCAGTTCATCTAAAGGCCTCAGGCATTAAGTTGTGTATATGCATTAGTAAACGGCCTGGAATATGACAACATATTTGTACATAGTTATTTTAGTTCCCATTTGATTAATTGATTGTGATGAACTTGCCCAGAACCAACGCTTCTTCCATACAAACATTATCTCCTCGATCGAGACATTCTTCATCCCAGGAAAGAACAATGAGATGAACATCATCATTATGATAATAAAACCAGCAAAAAAGCAGAAGAGTTCGAAATTCAAGTGGCACATCATGTTGATGAACAACAAAACAATTACAAAAGTGAAGAATATATTCACTGAAACATGGATGCTTTGCCCAGATGACCTAATCTCTTGTGGAAAGATCTCCAATGGCACAAGCCACCTGAGCAGTCCCCAAGATTGCACGGAGGCTGACACATACATGCAAATGAACACCACCACTAACCCAACTTTGAAAACTCTGTGTGCGCGCCGGTCACTCCAAACTTGATGCTAATGAGTGCGTCTATAATGACTTGACATATGATCATTTGAACCCCACATTCTAAAATCAGAGTGTATCGCCCCAGCTTATATACACATGCAATGGATACGAATGTGGCCACCATGTTCATTGTGCTAGTGCTAATAGTGGACATTAATGAAGGCTGGTCATTGAAGCCCACATTTTTGAATAGAGCATATGCATATAACATGATGACATTGATGTCAGTGAGTTGTTGGAAAAAGCACTACAGGAAAATCACTTATTACCGGCGGAATTTTTATGATAATAAAACCAGAAAAAAAGCAGAAGAGTTCGAAATTCAAGTGGCACATCATGTTGATGAACAACAAAACAATTACAAAAGTGAAGAATATATTCACTGAAACATGGATGCTTTGCCCAGATGACCTAATCTCTTGTGGAAAGATCTCCAATGGCACAAGCCACCTGAGCAGTCCCCAAGATTGCACGGAGGCTGACACACATGCAAATGAACACCACCACTAACCCAACTTTAAAAACTCTGTGTGCGCGCCGGTCACTCCAAACTTGATGCTAATGAGTGCGTCTATAATGATTTGACATATGATCATTTGAACCCCACATTCTAAAATCAGAGTGTATCGCCCAAGCTTATATACACATGCAATGGATACGAATGTGGCCACCATGTTCACTGTGCTAGTGCTAATAGTGGACATCAATGAAGCCTGGTCATTGAAGCCCACATTTTTGAATAGAGCATATGCATATAACATGATGACATTGATGCCAGTGAGTTGTTGGAAAAAGGAGATAAAGATTACCATGGTGAGCTGTAGTTTGTATTTACGATTTATGATGTTTTTTCACAGGTGCTTCACAGCCTTCGAGTCTTTGCTAGTGATTACTATGTCCTTGTATTACTCATCAATGTGATCATTTCCTCACACCTTACAAAGCATCCACTTGGCGGTGGCTTAATGCTCAAGCTCAATTAATGAGTTGGGCGTTTCAAGGAGTACAAAAGCACTGGTGACAATGTTGGCGCCAAACATAATAGTGAGGGAAAGGCTCACACGCCAACCCCAACCTCAACCCCCTTTGATCTGCATTGTTCATTTGGTTATGAAATTTGCGTCCAATATGCCAATAGTGATCATCATCTGGAAGCTAATGTTGAGCATCCACGGAGTTTAGGTGGAACCATCTCCTAAAGGTAGATGGGCACTAATTGGTTGGTGAAGCCGATGCCAATGCCTAGGAGGATGCGACCAAGGATTAGCTTGAAAAACATTCACCACAGTGTCGTTGATGGTCACGCCAACAAAGAATATAAGACCGCTGTAGAATATAAACCATTTGTAGCCGAACACCCTTGTAACAGTTGAGCGCGAAGGAGGCAATAAGGGTCGCTAGATAGAAGGACGATGTGAAGAGAGTCAGGATATCTCTATTGAATTTACAATATTGATTGTTGGAGACGTTCTTCTTTTTCTTGTGTACAATATTGATTGTCGTAACTCCACCAAAGATGTCAATGTTTTATCCGAAAATGATGCCGTCGATGGCGGCGACTACACACGTTAGGGATACAAAAAACCATCAACTTGCTAGGGTATTCATTCACGAACACTTCGCTCACCATTATTGGTATGGACATAAGTGTGTTGACCCTGTTTTTAATGCAAAATCATATTAAACACTATCAATCTTTTTTTTTTAAAAATATAAAATTGAGTCGTATTCAAGTTAATTGAAGTCGATTTAGTCAAATATCTAAAATGGAACAACATCGAATCGATTCGAGTCCAATTCGACCCCGTCGGCCTCGTTAACATGTTAAATCAAATCAAGTCAAGCTACGTTGAATCATTTCGACTCGATACCGATCAACTCGAGTAGACTAGAGCCCAATTCTAATTTGGCTGTCTCAATAGTGTTGAATTAACTCTTCTCAAGTCAAATCAATTTCAATTAATTAAAAAAAAATTCAATTAATTCAAACTCACTGAACTTATTTAATCCGAATATCATTTGACTTATTTAATTCAGATTTTCAATTTTAACCCTCAAATATTTGTTAAGCTTGAAATTATCTCAGCCCTTCATTTTCCCTACTAACATTACCTTATAAGAGCTGTTCGTGCGTTCCACTCGAGCTGTCTTGAGCGGGAGAGAGAGAGGCGGACAGTTGTCCGTGCGATTCATCCGGCTGAAACGAGAGACAAGAGCGAGAGAGATCGTGTAGGGATTTCGTTTGGAAGATTGAGAGGAGGAATTTGTTTCTTGCGTGCGACCTAGGAGCAAGAATCGATCGCTGCTGGCTTGTTTCTTTGAAGCCCAAGGTAAGGAATAGTGGTTCCTCGTGTAGTTCTTCAAGAGTCAAAGGCAAACAAGAATGTTGCAATTTTGGACAGATTTCTGTCTCATTTCTTTCTCGCAAAACTGAGTTGGACCGCGGTTCTTTTCCCTTGAAATTTTCTTGAGTTTTTCATAAGGCAAAGAGTGATTCATCTATTCCAAGAGCATGAAAGTAGAACCATCGTTTGTCCTCTTTCTTTTTCAGCTTCTTGAAAATATGAGGGAATCATCCCTCTCACATTCCTCTTTGTTGAAGAATAAATAAAGTGCTTGCAAGAAATTTCTTAAATCCCAAATACTAGATGATATATTTGCTGGACCTGTCATCTTTCGAAAAGCATATAGTCTCCTCCATGTTAATTTCCCTTACTCCATGTACAGTTTTGTTTTGTTAATAGAGAGATATTGACATTAGTTGATTTCATGCTTTTCTGAAGCAGAAATGAGTAAAGTAGTGGTTAACTTTCAGAAGAACTTCACAAACTCTCATTTTTATATTATATGCTTGTGAGACTAGGTGTTGGGTTTTGAATATTTTGACATTTAGAATCGATATTATCTTGTTGAGTTTTCATAATAACGTGCACTGTAAATATTCATGTTCTTCTATATATATTAACATTGAATGAATGAATCTCGGCATTTCGTAGCTAGGCATGCATAATGAATAGGCATGCATTATGAACAAACAAACAAATTCATTGCCCTTGGATTATAAGCTTGGAAATTGAAAGTTCATGCTAGAAAATTTTTTGATTTTCCATAAAAAGCTGAGTCCATCTTTTGATATATTTTTGATTAAAAAAGTTATATTCATTGCAAAAATTGGCTAGGGCTTCAATAGACATAAAAGGAGCATCATAAGAGCAAACATGTTAGGATGGAAATATTGCGAGTGTATCTTAGGGGCTGCTTGGCAACATGATTTATGTAGGATTAATGCTAAACTCTGCCAAATGGGATTTGTTATATCAGCTGAGAAATAGTTTTATATTCTTATTGATTCGATAACTGTTATGAAGAGATAAATGAACTAAGTCTTATATTAAGATGTTTGCTTGCTGTGAGTGCTTCATTACATACAAGTTGGATCAGATAGTTCTGCTAGTTGATTTTAGCATTTTTATCACTAATTTGCATTTTTTATTATCTTCTGGTAGCAATCATCTGCAAGTAAGATGGAAACAGAGGCTGGAAAGGGAAATGATGAGCAACGGCTAATTTTTAGAGACATCAGAAGATATTACTGTGAACATTGTGGAATTTGTAGGTCCAAGAAATCTCTTTTAAGATCTCATATATTGTCAAACCATAAGGTATGGACTTGGCAAACGCCATGGCTGTCTTTTGAATGTTTGGTTATGATTTTCTACAAAATTACTGTTATCTGTTTGATTCATCACAACGTTTTGTTATCTAATAAAGTTATTTCCATTCTTTCTTTTTCATTCAAAGTCATTTTTCCCCTTTTTTGGATTTGTTATTCAGGTTTGTTGCATTTGTTATCATTTTTTAATGAAGTTCTCATATGTGCAAATGCACTTGAGATATGTGGCTTATGATTACCAATTATTGAATGTTTTACGAAAGAGCGAAAAAAAATCTATATTCTATGAATAAAATCTCCTTATACTGAGGTGTCTTGCTTCAGTCATTTTTTTTTCTTCAGTCATTTTGTTTGCTCAGATAGTTGGGATAAGGGTAATGATGATGATATGATAAATAAAGAATAAGGTCCCTTCTAGTGGTTATTTTAAAGCTGTCATTGGAAAACACTTTATCTACTTAGTAAACTCTAGGTGTTGGATTTGCATAATGTAACTGATATTTTTCAATTCCCAGCGTGTTATTGTCGTGTTGTCATATGTATTGATCAATCATGCTATAAAATTGGCATAGACCATTAAATTACAGTCAAATGCAGTTGGGTTTTCATTTGTTGCTAGGAGAGCTTCATTGGGAAGTTAATCAACTACGCATTATTTATTTTTAGTACCTTAAAGTAGGGTTTGTACAGAATCCACATTTGTACTTTATTGATTAGAGATTCAACTACGCAGATTGAGATTATGTAATGTTTATATAGTTCGGATTGAAGCTTTAATATCACTTCAATTGTTTTACTAAACATTTAAATGTCAAAAAAAAAAAGGAAGATCTGAAAGAAGCCGCACAAAGCCTTAGAAGTTGAAAACCTGTGTCTCAACATTGCAGGCATGCGGCATCTCGATGTAGAAAATGATTTTTTAGGTTGCTGTGCTCTTCACTTTCATGATCTCAGATGTTTCTACTTTCTGACTCACAGCTCTGATATAGGATTGATCCCTAGATTTTTTAACTGTTTTTTAATGTTTTAGATTTTCAAGGTGTTAAATTTGGTTCGTAGTTAACTTTTGTTGTTTATTTTGATAAAATTAGTTGAGAGATACTTTCTATGAGACTTTTTAAATTTGATTTCAACCTAAAAGAATTACCCAAAAAGTTCTAAATTTCCTGAGGGGGGGAGCTTCCCTACAGCTAACTTTGTCCAAGGAAACTACAAAGTTTATGATAGGATCAAATTATGTTCAAATTGAACATCTAAAGAAACATGGGGTTAAAATGAACACCCTTAAAATTTCCAAGGACTATTGTGATCATTTATTCTTCTTTTAATGTCTGGACAACAAACATGTTTATTCATTGCACAAGATAATTTAATAATTTACAAAATATCTTAAATTATATAAGAAAAATAATTATCAACATTAAATTTTAGCTACAAATCAAGTTCACACTAAAAAAAAATATTATCTCACTTGATAAAATTTCAATTATATATGCAAAATTAATTCTTGAATAATTTAAGAGATGGGAACAAGGATATAAATTATTCTAGAGGGAAGAATTATGCTTCACACTAGTACAATAAGTCTCCTTCAAAATTTGTAAAACATGCATATACACAAGGACGTGTACACTAGTACAACAAGTCTCCTTCAAAAGTAGTTGTCCATCCTCATGAAATAAAACATGCATACACAAGGAAGTGGAAATTTGGGATTTTATTTCCTTGTTCTATTTATAACCTTCAAATGACCCAAGAATAAAAAAAATTACAAAAAAAATGTAGAAATCAATTCAAAACAGAATGTTTCAATGCATCCAACTTAAATTCCATTAATATGAACTTTTTCCATAAAATTCACTTAAAAAATTACACAAGGTGCTTGATGAAATATTAAAATTTTCCCTGAAATAATGGGCGGTTGTTTGTAGAAGACCCATGTACAATACTGTAGCAGGTAGCGATGGTAATAGTAGAATAGCGCCAAATGTTGGAAGTAGAAAGGAAAACATTAGTAAAGACGGCGGAAGCAAAGACATCAAAGGAAATTTAGTCATGGAAATAGCGGGAATATAACTATAACAATAAGGCAATGATTGTAGCACTATGGGTGATTAAGGTGACAACAATAACAGGATAACAATGGGATTAAGTAGGGAAGGCAAGGCAGTAGGAGCAAACAGGGAAGGCAACAAGGTGTGCCGAGAATTGACGAGAAGCAATGAGAATGATTGCAATGGATGATAGTGAAATTGGCAGAAAATGGTTGCGGAATAGTAGTTGTGAACACGGGGACAACAATAACATTGTGGATTGCAGCATCATTTAATGGAAAATAGGAATAAAAGTGAGTAGTAATTAGCACTTTGTATTTTAGTATTGATTCTAAACTCCTTATTGATGTTAAAATAAACTCCATGGGCTTAGTTGAAATTATGAAATACTGAGTTAGATCTAACAGACTTTCCAAAGCACTGGACAATAACTCCAATTCATGTATGAGCCGAAATTATAGACATATTTTACACTTGAAATGGAATGGGAAACTAAAACTAAATATTGATGTATATGAATCTCATTCTCAATATGCTCAGACTTTCAGATATGCATTAAGTTCTCTCTTCTGGAACGCAATAAGAGCAAGAAGGTTCCCCCACCACAGCCTCATTACCTATTGCCATTTATTTCCACAATTGCTGACTTGCTTATTAACATCATCCATTATTGACATTGAATGCTGTCATGGAAGGTTTCTAATCTTTAGAAAATAATTAGCGTGGTGTTGTCATATGTTGTGTAAAATGTTTCAGATTTGCTAGTCTTTTATAATAAAATGCTACCTAACCCGCATGTTTTTTCATACTGTTTGCTCGATAAACCTTATGCCATTTGTCGTTGAATTTTCCTTTCTATACTAAATTTCTCCGCTCTTCCCTTCCATTATCATAACATAGGCTTCAAATGCTTATCGGCAATGTGAAGTTCAAAACTTTTATGCGTGTGAAACGCTTGAACTAATCTCTTTTTTGAAGTACCTTTCTCTCATTGGATTTTCTTTTGATTATGTTGCTCTAAAACATACAGGAAGAATTACAGAAGGAAAAACTTCACGAGGTTAGTGCATTCAAGCCAGCAAGTCGGAAGGTTCAACATGCTTGTGAAGAGTGTGGCGCAAGATTCTGGAAACCAGCTCATCTAGCGCAGCATATGAGAAGTCACTCCGTTGAGGTTTTTATATTTGTCCTTCCATTTTGCTAATTAAAGATCATTGTTCCCATTATATATCCACACAGAAAAGTATGCTCAATATGAATGATATTGTTAATTTGTTGGCATCATAATGTAACGTTGATTTTAGCTTTTGCATGCAACCCATTTTTCCATCAATGCGAGCTCTGAATGAATTACTTCCGTACATAATGGTTTTATCAAGCAAATATAATATCTTGTTTTTGTTCTGTTTTTTTTCTCATTTGAAGGAACAGTTTTACATGCATTTGGTTTCTTGATTGTGATCTACCCAAAAAGAACTGTAAAAACCAGCGTGGAAGCATTGGATCCCATGATGAACTCCAAAATGCAAAGAGGTCTCTTGATTGGACTAGTATCAGGATGGGAGACTTCCTGAGAAGCTCCATCAAGAAAGCCTTAACTCACGCATCTTCTCACCTGAGGTTTGCTTCTAAAGAAACTTAAGCTAATATTGCATTGTTGTTAGCCTTTCCATATGAAGTCTTCTGATTGGTAGGTTAATGGTACACTTTCATTGGATTATATTTGATGTCTCATATGCTATTCTAAACTTCTGTTAAGTAATCGTGAAGAAAAATCTTTGAAGCAAACTATAAGATTGCGTTCACTCTTTCGTTATTCTTTCATTTTTTTTGTTTGCTGCTTATCTTCTATCATCTTTTTGTAGAGACCATTTGCTTGTCCAGTGAAGGATTGCTATTTTAGCTATCGACGAAAGGATCATCTAAATCGGCATTTACTCAAACACCAGGGCACAGTCTTTGATTGCCCTGTTCAATGTTGCAATCGCTCATTTTCCTTCCAAGGAAATATGAAGAGGCATGGGAAGAAACTTCATGGTGATGACACCCCAGATGAAGGTAAAAAGCGGCATACTTGTGAGAAGCCTGGATGTGGAAAGACATTTGAGTTTGCATCTAAATTAAAGAAGCATAAAGATTCCCACTGTAAGTAATGTGTGATGGTGTGGATTTGCAGAATTGAGATGATTGTTTTTATTTGAAGTGCTTGGAAAGTTGATATATGGTCTCTTCTGTTATGAAATTGTAAATTTTTTATGATACAGTAGAGGTGGAATTCTTGGAAATTTTTTGTGGAGAACCTCATTGTATGAAGCCTTTCACAAATTCTGAGTGCCTGAAGGCCCATATACAATCTTGCCACAAGTATGTTAAGTGTGAGGTATGTGGAGCTCAACAATTGAGAAAAAATTTTAAGCGACATCAAAGGACACATGAAGGTGTTATTTCAAAGGAAAGAATCAAGTGCAGTTTTCAAGGATGCGAACAAACGTTCTCAAAGGTAAGATTCAATGATTTGTTTATTGTCTTCTCTCCACCTTTTTCTTAATGATTGCTCCTGCAATGTTTGATTGTCAAATCACCATAATAAAATGCGTTTAGATTCACATATTCCTTTCAATTCTTAATGTTCCGTTATTTTTTTTTTCATTTCATCCAGTTTTACTCACTTTTTCATGTTGATATGAATTTTTCTGGGTCGTATTTGTGTGATTATAGAAGCAGGATATTTATGCATGTTGACAGTTAAACCAAAATGAACTTAATGATGGGAGCAGGATGGTCTAGGAGATGCTTTTTATCAGATGCACAATGTGATTTCTTTTCTGTTTCCATTGAGCACTAATGCTTTCTTCAAATTCTAATGTTGCGAAGAAGAAAAAGTTTTGTTATTAGATATAAGATTCAGTTCGGACGACTTTCTTATTGTTTCCTAAAGCAGCTTTTAAATACAAAAAGTTTTCTAGTACAAAAATTAAATTTTTTGTATTAAAAAGTTGCTTAAGAAGCAATAAGAAAACGGTCTCAAACAAAGCCATAATCATGTATCATACCTAGTTTCTTTTTTTTTTATCCTCCAGTTTTTTCATGATTTCAAGGCTCTCTTTGCAAGTAGTAACTACATATGCAATCTGCATTCTCTTTTTCTTAATTGCAGAAATCAAACCTCAATAAGCATGTTAAAGCTGTTCATGAAAAACTGAGACCATTCAGATGTTCGACATCTGGATGTCAGCAAAGATTCTCCTACAAGCATGTTAGAGATAATCACGAGATGACTCATGTGTACATGCAGGTATTTTCGCAAGCGAATATTTTTTTTCCATCTCTAGTATCAAGATTCAAGACCGTGCATAAACTTTCTAAATAAATTTGCTCGTTTATGTGAAGCATCTTGATTAGTTTCTGTTAGACTGATCCATTGGACCGGTCCAACCGGTCCACACGAGACCCGCCCAACGCAACAGAGGCGGAACTTCTGTGCCTCTTGCGCATGCTGCGAGATCCTTGGGAGCTATTTTTGAAGGTTTTTGAGGGAATTGGGGGGATATTTGAATGTAGGGACTGTTTAGGGATTTCCTTTTGATTTGTATGCATTAAATAGTTTGTTTTCCTAGGGTTAGTGCATCTTGAATTTGGCAGAATTTGGGATCTCTTAGGTTTAGGTTTCCTTTGGGCTCTAGCGGCGTTTAGAGAATTTGGGAGAGATCGATCTTCCTCTCGAATTGAGGATCAACTGTATCTTGCTATTTTCTTCCGTATCTTTCTTTATTGCAATAAAAATTATTGTTTTTTTTTCTGGTTTTCATCGGAGTTTGGAAGCGTTTTCTCGCTGCTTTCCGAAGATTAATATGAATTACTTGAGATCTACCAGTGTTTCCTATCAGTTTCATAATTTTCCATAAAATCTAATATTATCATTGGCATATTGTAGTTTTTTGAGAATTCTTTTCACCATCATTGATCTGAATATCTTTCCAATAGAATTGCAGTTTTTTTCTTTTTAATGATTCCATAGTTCTCATTTTTTACTCTTTTGATCTCTTTTTTTTTTTTTTTTTTTTTTTTTCTCTTTTTTTTTTTTTTTTGATTTGTTATGAAGGGTGATTTTTTCGAAGTTGATGAACAGTGGAGGTCAAGGCCCAGAGGTGGACGGAAGAGGGAAAGAATAACTATTGAGGCCTTGACGAGGAAAAGAGTAGTTCCGTTAGACAGAACATCCATCATGGAAAATGGAGCCGGCTACTTGAGATGGTTGTTTGCCGATGATGAATAGAAAGCATTCATATAGTACTAAAATTATATTGGCATATCTATGTGCATGAAAATTTCCATTGTACCAACATTTATATTTAGATTTTTTTTTTTGGTTCATGGAATGTTTGGTGGTTCTGTTTGAAGTACATTTTTTTTAATAGAAATTGTAGTAAATGCATTGATTTTTTGTTTGATATTAGGTTTTATTTGATTTGTTGTATTTAGAAAATGTATTTTGCATGAATTTACTTTGTGCAAATCATTATGTACACCAGTATCAAGAAAAAAACCACTTACAAATGTGATTTCATTTGTAGTTTGGAACATTATGTTGCCATGTTGGGATTGTAAACATTATTATTTAGGTTTGGTTTGGGATGACTGTCTTATTGCTTCTTAAAGTAGTTTTTTAGTGCAAAAATTTATTTATTTTTTCACTAGAAAACTACTTTAAGAAGTAGTAAGAAATTGTCCCAAACAAAATCTTAATCAAGCACAGATGTTGAAGGGAATCACATGTCTCTCAGTGACTAATTTGGGGCTAAGGTTAGTCATTTCATCAAAATTGAAGCTCATACATGCTTAGAATAGCATGGTAAACACCACCCAAGTTTCATGACACAACATCGAGGTTTCGTTTGGGACGGTTTTTTTACTGCTTTTAAAAGCAGTTTTTAAGTACAAAAAATTTAACTTTTGTACTGAAAAGCTGTTTTAAGAAACAATAAAAAAACCGTCCCAAATGAAGCCTAAGTTTGAGGATACTTTAGCTTGAACAGCCCGACCCGATAAGAACGTACATCATCCCTCACACATGACTAGATCATATGAAAGGGGTCATATTGGAGTACAACCATTCTTGCAACTACCCAAGCTACTGGGTCGCCATTATTTCTCCACTCAAGGTCCAATGAAGAGCATGACAATAACCTTCATCCAATAAGCTTATTATTTTCCAATTTACTTTATACTTCTTTGTGTTGTTCCACATATTTCACCACACCCTTTCATTGATTGCTAATCTTTAAACACTCTTCTCAGTGAGAGAGCAGTTGATTTACATAAAATGATAATATCTTGATGATTATTAACGTCAAATCTATAGCATAAGCAATTAGCCTTCTCATGATTGTTCCAAAAAATTCTCTTGTTGAAGCCTCTCATTTACCACAATTAAATGTGGTAGTCATCGATTGAATATTCAAGCCTTAAGTGCTAGTCATCAATTGGTGTCATTCGGCCACCTCTAATTAACAATGCAAACCCAATTTTGTATGGGTTAAGGCATTTATCATCAAATTAATCTCTAATTATGAAAGAATTTTATTTCCATCAACATTATGTGAAATATAACGGACATTTTAAGGCTTTATTTGGGGTGGCTTTTCTACTGCTGGCAGCCTTTTAGTACAAAAGTTTAATATTTGTACTAAAAAGCTATTTTAAGAAGCGGTCAGAAACCCGTCACAAATAAAACCTAAATAAGGAATGTAATAACCCTAAAAAAATTAATGGATCATTTGGCGACTTAGTTTTAGGTCAATAATAAATAAGAATCATTGTTAGTTCATTTGATTAGATTTTCTCTACAAATTTATGCTTTAGAGACTTTTCCTTACTCTAACATTGCTTGTTATGACTATTATCAAACCTTGTCATTTGGTTAATTGATAATAATTGTAACACTCATTTGTGCCCATTGCAAAAAATCATCTTGCTATTTATAATAGTAGCAATGAAAGCACTCCTCCCTATAGTTAGTTAGCAATGATTGTCATTTTTTGGTGCTCTCTATCAACTTATGTCCTATTTGTGAAAATAACAACATTGGATGCATTACTCACTACAATTAGCCAAAAATAGTTTTAGTGTAAAACATGCCTAGTTCTAGTTGATTAAAGAAAACAAATTTCATGGTCATGATAAACTACATGAATATGCATACATTTGTGTTAATGGGGATGTTATTCACCCTATTAGCATTTTTTTTTCTACTTCTTACATCTAATACTTATGATGCTCAATGTAGTTTTTTCTCTATAAATAAAAAATAAAATAAAATAAAATTTTAATCAATAAATAATTAAAATCAAATGAAGCCTAAATTTATAATTGAGGAAATTGACAAGTGAGGGAAATGAAGAGAGGATTATTATTTTTTATCTAATACTTGACCTAAGATTCAATGATAGAAATAATAAACTAATTTAGAAAATGCATATATAAATATAAATATTAGCTAAGTCAATCATATTTTGTGATTGAGAAATCATTTGCCAGATTAAAATTTAAATAAATTAGAGCAACTAATTATCATCAAACTCAAAATAATCTTATAGTCTACTTTTGATTATAAAAAAGAAAGAATGATAGTTCAAAATATTTTGTTATATTTTGAGATTAACGCAAAGAGTTGATGATAGCAATTAATTATAATGCACAAATCCTAAAGCATTAGAGTTCACTTCAAAAATAAACTAATTTAGAAAATGCATATATAAATATAAATATTAGCTAAGTCAATCATATTTTGTGATTGAGAAATCATTTGCCAGATTAAAATTTAAATAAATTAGAGCAACTAATTATCATCAAACTCAAAATAATCTTATAGACTACTTTTGATTATAAAAAAGAAAGAATGATAGTTCAAAATATTTTGTTATATTTTGAGATTAATGCAAAGAGTTGATGATAGCAACATATCTCATTAATTATAATGCACAAATCCTAAAGCATTAGAGTTCACTTCAAAAGATCTTTGTGGTATGTTTGATCATTATCCTCTAAGTAGAGGAGATGATAGACCAATAATTCTAATATAATCTTGTTGTTGCTCTTTAGAGTTAAAATTGATGTTGACAGTGTGCAGAGGCCTTATTCATGATGGCATGCATCAATGTTGGAAGTAACTGCCACAACTTAAGGTCTAATTAGAAAGAATTTTTCTTATATATATAAGCACAAAGCTTTTCTATATCATCAAATAAATAGTAAATAATGATATTAACATCTTTTTATTTACTTGCCGGACTATAAAATTAAAAGGAGTTATACACAACAATCATGGTCCAATACTCCAATCTCTCTTTCTGCCCAATCATAGACAAACATCATGACTATCAAAATAATAAGTCTATGCAATAAGCATACCTAAGTTATCAATAGTCTATATCTACTCAACTAGAACCTTATCCTTTCTTGAAATTGAAACATATAAGCAAATCAAGGGTGAGCAACACTTGCTCAGTAGGTTACCCAAAACCTACTACAGAATTCAATACACACATATAAAATAACTTGTAAATAAGTATAACATCGTATGAACAATTGAACATATTATAATGAACTAACATAATATTTATGTTGTGTCTTATAATTATCAAATATGTGTCAGTATAAAACAATGTCAACAATATGCAGATTAAGAATAACAACAAACACATTTTAGTAATTTCTATCAGTGTCAATAAACTTGTTGAAATATCTAAAATATAATATAATAAAAAATATTTGACAAAAATTTAATTTAAACATATTAATATGAACAAAATATTTTATTATATAATATGCTAAAAGTTACACGATGAGAAGTTTTTCAATCTTCTTAAATTTGTATTTGTATAAAATCTGACCAAATAAAAAATTCACACAAGAATCACAAAATTGAAAATTGAAATAGGATAATGATAGCCTACTACAAGCTAGACAATATATTTCAGTTGGCCCGATTCTAAATTTAGCTTCTCTATCCCATCTTCATTCTCTTTCAGTGTGTCAGTTTCGGGTTGGACCCAAGCCCTACTCAAATACTGATTTTGACATCCCTACCTAAGATAATTATAATTGGAGAGAGGCAATGACAATGGAGAAAATTTTAATACATATAAATTATGTAAAAGTTCCTTAAGAAATATGCTTGAAAGTTTTCTTTGGACATAACACATATTTCTGAATGCTTATTGAAGTCCATGTAAATGAAATTGATTTGAACATAAGCTTGAACTCATTTGAGCGAATTTGCGTGTGGGAGAAGGCATTACAGGAACAATACGACCTTGACATTGATTGGAAAGGCATAATAGACCGGCAATGTCTAAGGAGAAGAGGAATTTGCAGTATGTCATTGGGGAAAAGCATCACATACAATAGCATGTGACCGGCGAAAACCCATCGAAAAATGCTCAAAGTTCATCGGAAATTAATATTTTTGGAGGATTTTCGATGGTACAATGTGCGTCGAATAACTCATTTCGGCGCAAAATAGTCTGACGGAAATAAATCAGTCGAAAAGCCAATCAAAAAGTATGTCAGAAATTTATCTGAATATTCGCCGAAAATTGTCCATTGGTAATCTGTCGGAAAATTCGTCGGAATTTGTGACGAATTTATTTCCGCCGCAAATAAGATGTTTTCCTGTATTATTTGATGTGAGAGGCATTGCAAAACTTCATGCATGCGACCTTGACGCCTTATTACAGATCGTAGAAGTCTAAAGAGAAGAGGAGCTTACATTATGTCATTATGAAAAGAATTATATAGAGTAGCATGCGAGGAGAAGAAGTGTTCGTGTTCGTGTGGGAGCTTGACGTGAGCGGTATTATGAGACTGCCTATAGCCGAACTTGACACCTCCAGGGAAGGAAATGTAAACTGAAGGAGAATCTTGAGCGGAGCAAAGAGGAATGAAGAAGAAGAAGATAGAACGCAGAAAAACGGAACAGAGGGAAAAATTATATTCAAATGTAAAACTGAGATTACAGCCTTATATAGAGTAGAGAGGGAAATAATTAAGATGAGCTAGAGTACAACTTAACTAATAAAATTCTCGTTCTAATACCTTCCCTCAAATTAAACATTTTGAGAGCGAATGTTTAATTTGGAATGAAGAAAATTGAAACGAGATATGTTAAACGGTTTCGTTAAAATGTCTGCGATTTGATCATGAGAGGAAATGTGTTGAATGCGGACATTGCCGGACGTGATATGTTGTCGAATGAATTGATAGTCTATTTCAATATGCTTCGTCGGGGCATGAAAGACTGGATTCTTGGCTATAGCAATGGCCGAGATGTTATCACAGTGAATGAGAGTTGGAGAAGATTGTTCTAGTTGGAGTTCCGCTGCTAGACTACGAAGCCAAATAACCTCCGATGTTGTCGCTGACAGGGCACGATTCTCCGCCTCGGTAGATGATTTGGCCACGGTGATTTGTTTCTTGACGGACCATGAGAGGAGGTTCGGTCCCATGAAAGTGCAGATGCAGGAAATTGACTTGCGATCGGAGGTGTCCACCGCCCAGTCAGCATCAGTGTAGGTATGGAGGAAAGTGTCGCCGGGCGTGATCGGTAAGCCAAGGGTTGATGTTCCTTTGAGATAGCACAATATCCATTTTAGTTGAATAAAATCAGTAGTGGTCGGAGTTTGCATATGCTGACAGACTTGATTGCTGACGTACGCGATGTCTGGCCGAGTGATTGTAAGATACTGAAGGGATCCAGCTAGGCGTCTGTACATGGATGGATCATGAAATAACTCAGTAGGTTGCTGTGAGTGTCTTGTAGTCGGTGTGATGGGTGTCGGACACAGTTTGCAATCAGTGAAGCCTGCTTCCTGTAAGAGTTTAGAGATGTAGTGTTCTTGATGAAGAAAGAATCCAGTGGCGGTGCGGCTTATCTGAATGCCGAGGAACAGATTGATCTATCCCAGCTGTTTGAGAGCGAATTGAGAGCGGAGGTCATGGAGGAGAGTGTTGATATGAGTCGAGCAATTTCCTATAAGAAGAATATCATCCACGTAAATGAGAATGTAAAGAAATGTTTGATTATTGTTGTAGATGAGTAGAGAAGGATCGGAGCGGCTAAACCCGAATATGCGAGCTTGTAAGAAAGCCATAATTTTCTGAAACCATTGGCGGGGTGCTTGCTTAAGCCCATATAAGGACTTGTGAACTTTGCAGACTGCATTGGGTTGAGTTTGATCTTCGAATCCGTGTGGTTGAGTCATGTATACATCGTCTGGTAAATCGCCATGAAAGAAGGCGTTGGAAACATCGAGCTGAAGGATGGGCCAGGTTCTGTTGACGGCAAGCGTGAGGAGCATACGGATGGTGGTCATACGAGCGACCGGTCTAAATGTTTCGTTGTAGTTTTCTCCCAAGACTTGTTCATAGCCAAGAGCAACTAGCCGAGCTTTATAACTGTCGACTTGACCGGATGGTTTGAGTTTGATCTTATAAGTCCATTTGCAGCCTAATACGCGGTGATTGAGAGGTTTGGGAACTAGGGTCCATGTCCGTTGCCGTAGTAGAGCTTGATATTCCTCTTTCATCTCATCTTGCCAGTGCTTGAATTTGGATGCTTGATTATACGTGGTAGGAGTGGGGGCAAGGCTGGTGTTGCTGAGGAGGGAAAGGAGTTGACGAGGTTTAGAGATACCCGACTTGGAGCGAGTCTGCATAGGATGAGGGAGTCTGACCGTAGGCTGAGAGCATTGTAGATTGGTTGCGGGGGCCATGTCTTCTGAGACCGAAAGATCTTTAGCCGTAGTTGTGGACGTAGTAGGAGGAGGAGGTAGTTGTATGGTGAGCTCTTTATTAACATTGTCCACAGAGGTCGTAGTGGCAGTGACCGGTACCAGGAGAAGAGGTGAAGACTGAGTCATGTTGGGCAAAGTTAATTGTTGAGTGGCTACAGTATTCGGACGGAGAGGGAAGACGGATTCTTGAAATTCGATATGGCGGGATATGTACATTTCGCGAGCTGTAAGATCATAACATTTGTACCCTTTGTGATGTGGAGAATAGCCTACGAAAATACAGGGTTGAGATCTCGGTGAGAGTTTAGTGGTGGTGTATGGTTGCAGCCATGGGTAATAGAGGCACCCAAAGGTTCTTAATTGAGAGTAATCCGGAGTTGTGTTATGGAGCATTTGGTAAGGGGATTTAAGAGATAAAGCAGTTGTGGGGAGATGATTAATTAGGTAATTAGCTGTGGGCACGGCATCTGCCCAGAAGTGATCCGGAAGATTGGAAGCGATCAGAAGCGTGCGGGTGAGTTCCAGAAGATGCCAGTGCTTCCTTTCTGAGAGACCATTCTGTTCAGGTGTGTATGGACAGCTAAGTTGGTGTTGTATGCCGTGGTTATTAAGGTAGGCAGTGAACTCATGATTAACGAACTCTCCTCCTCCGTCAGAACGAAAGCATTTCGGGGTAGCAGAGTATTGGTTTTTAAGAAAACTGCACAATATTTTAAACTTAGCAAATGTTTCATTTTTGTGATGTAAGAAGTAGATCCAAGAAAACCGCGTGTAATCATCAATGAAGACGACGTAATAATGAAAGCCATTTAACGAAGGTTGCTTCGTCGGACCCCATACATCGTAATGTATAAGTTCAAATGGATGGGAGGTTGACGAAGGACTTTTATTAAAGAACTGTTTATGGCTCTTGGCCATTTTACAAGCTTCACAGTGATATTCAGAAGGTAAAGAAGAAAAATTCGATATGCAATGTGCTAAAGAATTCAAGATGTGGTTGTTGGGGTGTCTAAGACGGGCGTGCTAGATGGTCGGAGAAGTGGTCGCAACTTGAAGAGCAGTGGACGGCATAGTTGGAGCTATGTGTAACTTGTAGATCCCATTATGCAGACGTCCACGAAGAAGAAGTTGATGGTCCTGCGTGTCCTTAATTTCGAAACCATTAGAATCAAATGTAATGTAAACTGAATTGTCAGAGGTTAGTTTTGACACAGAAAGAAGAATATGGGTAAGTGCCGGGACATGTAGTAAATTGCATAAATGTAGCTTACGAGACGAGTCTGGCAAGGGAAGAATTCCCTGGCCGTAGTTCTGTATAGGAACAGAAGAGCCGTTCGCCACGGAGACAGATTCGTGACCATGATAGACCGTGGGAAATTGAATGTTCGTGCCGTCTGACGTCATATGAGAGGATGTGCCGGAGTCAAGAACCCAAGATTGTGAAGCAGGTGTAGTCGGTTGAGCTAGAAGTGCGCGAGGTGCTGTCGTCGTGGGTTCGGTATTGGTCGTGGTGCGCGAGCTACTGTTTCAGAATTTGTTGGGGCGCTTGGTGTTTTTGTTCCGCATCTGATTATAAGAGGTGGCATAGTAGGCTGTCGTAGTGGCAAGCTGATCTTTCTTGATGTCCTGATTAATGTGTATTTCCTCACTACAGAGAAGAGAGTAGGAGGCGTCTAGATCAGCTGGAAGAGAGGAGGAGCGTATGTAAGTTTTGAAAGAATTGTAAGTGGCTGGAAGGCCATTTAGGATGTAAAATATTATTTCTTTGGGATCGATCTTTGTGCCAGATGCCGCAATGTTGTCGATAATGTTCTTGACTTGAGCAAGATATTGCTGCATCGTTTGATTGTTCATTTGGATGTGATGCAACTCGTTCTTGAGTTGGATGATGCGCGATCTACTGGACGACTGCAGCCAGCATTCAAGAACCGCCCAGATTTCGTGCGCCGTGGCAGATGTGATTATATATGGGAGAATGGCCGGAGAAATTGTAGAGAATAGCGCAGAGATAAGATTGTTGTCGACGAGACGCCATTGAGCGTGAGCGGAGGACGCCGGATCCAATGGTGGGAGCGTTTTGCCCGTGAGATGATCAGCGTATCCGTTGGCGGAGAGATGTTGGAAGATCTGGGTACGCCAGATGGCATAGTTGTCCGCGGTGAGGGTGTTTGAAATCAAGTTCTTGATATTCGAGATGATGAACTTGAGGGTCGTCGGAAGGGCGAGCTCGGTGGGCGGTCCGACGAGCGTGGAAGAAGTGGGTGGGAGGGTGGAAGAAGACTCCTGATCTCCCATCACTGGCTCACTGATACCATGAAGGAGAATCTTGAGCGGAGCAAAGAGGAATGAAGAAGAAGAAGATAGAACGCAAAAAAACGGAACAGAGGGAAAAATTATATTCAAATGTAAAACTGAGATTACAGCCTTATATAGAGCATAGAGGGAAATAATTAAGATGAGATAGAGTACATCTTAACTAATGTAATTCTCGTTCTAATATAACTAGCTTTGTGCGAGGAGAAGAGAAGTTTGTGTTCAGGGTGAAATTAATAGGTGCGGATACTGAACGTTATCCAGATCCCAATAAAAATGTATCACGTCACCCCTACTCAGTACTGTGACTCGATACTGCTTGGTACCGAGCTTAGTATTGAGCTCGGTACAGGATGACGTAGATGCACCTAATTAATCTCTAGACGATAAATTGTATTGGATATCCGCACAGGATAATCTCTCGTGTTCAGGAACTCAGTGGTATCAAGTTTGATGAGGAAAGAACAGTAGAACATATTAGGATGGATAATTGGATTTCGAATTATCGGGTCTAATCGGATCGCAACCACATCCGTTTGACGCACTCCGAAAACACGTCCCGTTGTCTTGTGGGACCCGAAAGCCCAGCACTTTCCAATCTTTTGCTCGTGGAGGATACGCTCGCATCGCGCCGCATAGATCGGACGGTTAAAAAATTCCACGCGATCGCCAAAGCTCGTGGATCTGTTTCGTCCACAGGGGCTTGAGCCATGGGCCCCACTGCCCACTCCAGATATTTCATCTCTACTGCATCAAATTTTCTGCCGACTCTTGATTGGAGCATGGTTTCTTCTGATTTTGCTTTCTAGGGTTTTTTTTACAGGGGATTTCTGGGCTTTTGATTCGATTTTGGAGACGATTCCGTTGATTTGGGGTTCCGCTCTTTTCATTCCTGCTTCATGTGTATCTGCGTCGACCGGTTTCAGATCCGAAGCTTTTCTCCTGAGCTGGGAACGGGAATCGGGGTTGAGCTGGTGAGTGATACAGCAGGGTTTTGTGGGTTGCGCTGGTTTGGGTGATTGGCTGGTGAAATTGGGTATGGGGACAGTGAAAATGGGGAAGGATGATGAGAAATCTATTAGGCCTATGTTTCCGAGGGTTCATGTAAGCGATACGGAAAAGGGAGGCCCGAGAGCGCCTCCGAGGAACAAAATGGCTCTGTATGAGCAGTTGAGCATTCCTTTGCAGAAATTTAGTAAACCTGGCAGCGTGGTCCCTTCTGCGTCATCTATCCAGGTGCGGTTCCTCTTTGGATCTAAATTTCCGCAGATAAATTTGTATTAATAAGCTTTCTGTTGATTCTGGTGCTTACCTTTTTATGCTCTTTGATGTGTTTTTTATACTTCCCTTCCGTATTGTTCTGTATTAAGTTTTTTTTTTTTTTTTTTTTTGGTAATTTTGGTGTTCACAACTCACAAGTGCTTTTTGCTGACAGGGAGGCAGTAACGAGAGGAATGCACGCTCTCCGTTTTATCTATCTAGTTCAATGCCTACCTCTTCAGCTGAGAAACCTTATTCGCAGTCATCTGATGGAAAAAGTAACAAGACCAGGGGAGTGGAATTTGAGAAATCTACTGGTCGGGTGGAGTATATAACTTCTCTTGCTGCAGGATCAGGTGCTGAAAGTAGTGCCTTCAATGTGCATGACTTCAAGAGTGGAACAAATTCTCTTAAAGCAAAGTTTGAAGATGATAATGATGATTTTAGAGTTCCGACTTTAGCTCAGTCTGAAGTTGCTTCACATTCAAAGGATGCACCTTTGGTGGAGGTAAACAAGCTAGCTTCTTTTGGTGCAACCAATGCACAGAACTCTGCCAATCTTGATTCTTCAGTCCATGTTCTGAGTTCTTCTAGTGAGCCCATTCATGAAGCCAATGCTTCTGGAAAATTATCAAGGAAGCGGGAAAGAATGCATGTTGAACAAGAGTGTACAGGAACTATTTCAAGCAAAGATCATGGAGACAAATTTCCTAACTATCCAGAATCTGGTGAGGTGCTTGCTGGTCCATCAAAAAATTCCTTGGTACCTGCAGATCGAGGTAGTGAAATAAACACGATTTCTTTGGATAAAACAGGCCACCAGAGAGCCAGGATTTGTAATGAAGCATCCTATGATGGTTCTGTAGAAAACAGAAATGCTTGCAAGATGCAGCGCCAATCATGTTCTAGGGCTTCATTTGAATACAGTCAAATAAATTATGAAGACAAAGCAAATGGGTTAGGGGAATTGAAAAATGCTGAACGAAGTGGTGAAGTATCGGAGGTCTCAATGATAGACTCCATTTCTGTATTGGATATATCTCCTGATGATGTTGTTGGAGTAATTGGTCCGAAGCAGTTTTGGAAAGCAAGGAGAGCTATTGTGAAGTAAGTGAAATTTTTTATCTGCGGAGCAGTCATCATGGTTTCATTATTTTGTTGGTTTTGTCTTATTGATGATTGGTTATAAGCTGATTTTAAAATTTTCATTAAAGCAGCATTTCCTTTTAGCGGACTTAAATGTTCACATCTAATGGAAGTAGGTTTTTCTGAGTAGTTTAGCATGCTTGTCTTCGACTCCTGCTTAGCTGAAACAAATGATCAAACAAGGCTGATGGCTCCGTTGCTTAAATACTTTTCACTGAATTTCCTATTCCGACATTGACAGTTTATATTTCATTTTTTTCTTGAAGCTGAGAATCTTGTTGATTAAATACTTCTCACTGAGGCTTCGTTTGGGACGGCTTTCTTACTGCTTCTTAAACAACTTTTTAGTACAAAAATTTATTTTTTGTATTAAAAAGCTTCTTTAAGAATCAATAAAAAAGCCGTCCCAAACGAAGTCTGAATTTCCATTTCCCATTTCTGCATTTAATGTTTCTAATTTTTTTTTGAATTTTATCATTTACAGTATGAATGCAGTCCTAGACCTTTCAATTATAAACCTGATAATATTTATCTTGCCAGCAATCTTCTATTACGATTTAATTTCTATCTTAAGCTTAGTGCATTCTCAGGATTTATCAAATGCGATAGTTTTCTATGTCATCTTATGGCTGCATCAATCCATTTGTGGCACAAACCTAGCAAATATCTGCTGTAGCTCTACACTATGCTCTTTATCTGTAAATAGTTTTTTTGATTTATAGGATTAAATGTTGTCTGAAAACAGATTCAACACTATTAATGTTTTGTTGTTGCCATGAGGCAAGTATTTGGAAGTCAAAGAGCATATTATGCTTCTTTTTATACAATTAGAATCTGAATCACATCTTAAAGTTTTTCATTTTGCATATACTGCACATAATTAAGCTTAGTATAATAATTCTTTATCATCATTGGCTTTATTCCAACTCCTGGGAGTGATCTTTATGAATGTCTTCACAATTTTATTCTGAGTGACTTTTGCATGATGTTCTAACTCTATTTTATGTAGTTTTTTTTACAACCTCTAGCTGTGTTGCCTTCGTTCTATCATCTTTTCTTCTTAATCCATCCACATTAATTCAATTTACCATACCAGGCATAAGATATGCTCATGGTGAAGTGGGTAATTTGGGTAGTCTGAGCAACAAAATAATGTTTTCATATATAAAAGATAGTTGTTTAGGGTTGAGTCAATTTTAGGGAGAATTTGTATTCATAAGACAAACTCAAAATAAATGGATTACGCAGATAATGATGATGAGATGGAAAGAGTGTTGTTTCAGTTGAAGTATTGTGTGTCAATGGCGCAAAATGGCGCACGTCATGGTGCAAGGTGCGACGCGGTGCACCTACGATGCCAATTGCATGGTGTGGCGCACATGTTCAAGTTGGCGCGCGCCATTTGTGCCACGACGTGCGCAATAGCACGGTCCATGCAATTTGAATTTTAGGAATTTTTTAATATAATTAGAAATAGTTTTTAATATTTTTGTATTTAATTTCTAAAATAATGCAATAATTAATTTTAAAATTATTTTATATGATTATAATATTTTAGTTTGGTTTTATTAGATTTTATTTTAGTAAAAATTTTGGATGAACTTAAAGCTCGCCTTAATGGTTTGAACTTTAGATCACAAACATATTCAATCAAGCCTTACCCAACTTGATTAATACTCTAAAATAGGATCAATGTAAATATTTTTATAATTCTTTTTATTTTTCGCAGTATTCAAAATGGCGCGCGTCACGCCGTGCTCTATGCGCCATGGCTCCACGGGAAACTTTGCGTCGTGCTGTGCCATTTGCCGTTGACAATGATAATAATTAAAGTAGGCTTATTGGATGACTCCTTGTCTGTCAATAGGTGCCTAGGTGGTTATCTATTTGTTGTGATGCTTGGGAAAAACAGTATTGCGAGTAGGATTAACCATTTCTTAAGGCAGGTGGCCTAGATGGAGTGGAAGAGACAGGGCTGGGTACTAGTGTTACATATGAACAGGGAACGTGACTGAGCTGCTTACCCACCCGTTCATGCTTGAATTTAATTTTTGCTTGCAGATGTTAAGTTTGAGTTTGCTCAACTAGCTTGTTGTTTTGTCAGCAAACATTGTGTGTTCTTTGAATTTTGGTTTCCCTAAGCGGAAGAGTGGACGTGGGCAGTTTTCAGAAATATATGGGACGCCAAACAGGATTTTATTCCGTTTGATTTGATTGCCATTATTGGTATAATATGGAAATCAACGATCAATTTCTTTTTTTATTTTTTCCAGTTGGCTTAAATATCAAATCAGAAAGCTTATTTCTTGGCCATGCCATTTCCTGTTGTGCTAAGCATCGCATACTTATTGCAATACTTTCATTTTGAAGTACTGCCCTCTCTCATAAGAATATGAGCTTGTCATATTTTTGAATTTCCATTTATTCCTTTCTGTTTCATACAATTAACTACTACTATTTAATTCCTTTGCAGCCAACAGAGGGTTTTTGCGATTCAAGTGTTTGAGCTGCATAGATTGATAAAAGTTAGTTTGCTTCCAACCCAATTATGCAACCAAGTTCCTTGTTTTGTTGATCTTCATAATGGATGTTGTAAATTATCTAAGAATAATTGTTTTTTAAACAGGTACAGAAGCTTTTTGCTGCGTCACCTCATCTACTGATGGATGATTCTGATATCATAACAATCCAACCAAAAGTAACTACAAAGAGCCTTCCAATTGCATCCAGCTTAAAATATCAACAAGATGTCCAAAAGCCTAGCCAAAATGCAGATCCTCTGGTAGAAAAAACAGCTGCTCCCTCTCCTCAACCTCAAGAAAAAGATCCTAACAAAGAACTTTGTCAACTTCCCAAAAATGTTCCTCTTACTGCCAACACTCACCAAATCCCTACTGCTCCCGAGAACCGGCCAAATCCTTGGTGTTTCCAGCCATCGCCAAATCAGTGGTTGATACCAGTTATGTCTCCTTCTGAAGGACTTATTTATAAGCCTTATGCTGGTCCTTGTCCCCCACCTCCTGGATTTATGGCACCTCTCTATGGGGGCTGTGGCCCTTTAAACCTGCCATCTGTTGCGGGCGACTTCATGAATTCAGCTTATGGTTTTCCATCATCTCACCAGCAACAAAGCCGTGTTCTTCCTGTTTCTCCAGCAATTGGTCCAAACTACTTCCCTGCACCTTACGGCTTGCCAATGGTGAATCCAGCTATTTCTGCCTCAGCTGTAGAGCAAGTAAGTCCTTTAACCAATGTAAGATCCGACGGACGATCCATGCAGTGCTCACAGAGTTCATGCAACATATCGATTACCAAAAGCGAAGCATTGTCGGGTTATCTTCCAAAGATTAAATCATCATCTAAGGATAATGAGCTTCAGGCGAGTACAGCAAGTAGCCCGTGCGATAAGGCGCAAGGAGAAGGGAGGGATTTGTTACCTGTTATACCTATCCCTCCAGCCACAGAGGGATCATGCCAGCCTTCTCAGTCAAGTGGTAAGGAAAATCAAACTCATGTGATTAAGGTTATTCCACACAATGCAAGGTCTGCAACGGAGTCTGCAGCAAGGATATTTAGGTCAATACAGAGAGAAAGGAGACAACTGGACTTGTAGTTTGAACGCCTAAGGTTAGTCCTTTCCTGATTGCTTTTCTCAAATTAAAGCTGTTACATTACCTGTTTGGATACTTCTTTGGATATTTCTAGGTGGGTGTTTGACAGCTTATACATAGCTTTTAGTTTCTTGTATGTTTTTTTTATATTTGTTTACATATTGATAGAGTTTTTTAAATGTTTTTTGTATCAGTTTTTTGTAACTCTGTATCCTATGTTGAGCAAAATGATGCGTGTAATCCTCTCTTGAAGTATAAATATAAGCTATTATTGCCATTCAGTAGGAAAAATATATGGGCAATGTGTTATATATTTTGTACAGTTGCCCATACAACTATTTACTGTACATTGAAAACTTTGAACCGTTCTTAGCATTCATTCGGTTTTTATTATGTTATTGTCAACGACTGACATGCTCTTCTATATTATGAGTTCATATATTGTGCATTTAGGGACTACTTATGTAATTTGTTTGCATGTAACATAAGTTCTACGTGATTTGTTTGATGATGGTCAAACTAAATTATTTATTAGAATTTCTGGGAGCAGTTTTGCTAGACTATCATCTTCATTCGATTCTTTTCTTAACTTTAGAAGTCAACTCATCTCTTTGGTGCTGTTTATAAGCCTTCTTTGGATCTCCAGCTCTCGGTCCTATTTGATTCTGACAAATTTTTTCGAGGCCCCCTTAAGCTTTTTACGCTCTTGGAATCCTCTCTTAGCATCAATGATTATCGATCGGGATCCCCATCTTCATCATAGATCCATTCAAAAGTCCCTTTCCAAGGTTTTGTATAGTTAATTTAGTAAATTAACTTAAGGAATGTGTTTGAGATTCTTGTGGTGATTAAATAAGAAGAATGAATGGACAAGTATTGAATTCCGAATAATATGTGGTAGTTGCTAAGAAAAATCTATGATAAGTACTTACAGACTTATGGAAATGGCAATTAATACTACATGAATGAGTACTTCGTGAGTGTTTGAGAATTTAGGAGGGGTTTCTTTGAGGGATTACTAGATCAACCTTGAGAGGACTCTTGAAAGAGCCAACCTGAGAGATTTCTCGAGGAGAAAAATGGGTGATTGATATTAATCATTATGCGTGATCGGTGACATGTAAGGTAGTGATGGTGAAGATGGACAACACAAACATCATAGATTACACGATATGGTGGACCTTTGTAAGGAAGCACTCTGTAAGTATGTATGCGGAAATGGTTTTAGTGTTACAGAAAATTTGCTCGATCGTATGATATATATCAGTCATTTGACACTTTTCTTAGAAGGTCCATTTTTATGTCAACATCTATGTAGTAGATAGCATTTTATTGCACCCATGCGGTGCCTCAGATAAAATGCCATGAGTTAACCTGCCATCTAAATTAGAACATAGTTGACTTAAAGAAAGTTCATCAGATGATGAGAGCGATGGTCTCTTTTTTTGGAAAAGTTAGGATTTGTGTTAAACCCTAGTGAAGGCTTGATGAAAGATTTGGAAGATTTTGGATAGGATTTGTTGGTATTTGGTTTTTTGTTTGAAGATATGATCGCATGTAGTGGGATAAATGTTTGATGTTATTGCTTCTCTATTGATTTGAAGTATGAGAAGTTCATATATTTGGTTCCAACTTGATCTCAAGATTTGGAAGTTAGGTCTTACATAGGGCTGTCAAAATCGGGTCATAGCTCGGGTTTGGGTCCAACCCGGAACTAACCCGACACTGTTCGACCCGGCCCGTTTTTGCAAACGTGTTGATTTTCGGACTCAAACTTGACCCACTTTGGGTCCGGGTCAACCCGAACCCGACCAGATGTGGGTATGTTTTACTAATTTTTTTATTTAATTTGATTTATTTAAACCTAAATCAAATTAAGGTAATATTGACTTCAATCAATTTAATATAAACCAAGCTTAATTTAATTTTGACAATATTGTTTATTATTTTTTATTTCATAACGATCTTTTAAAACACTCCTAAATTAATTAAAAACGGGTCAAAATGGGTTGATTTCAGATTTCCAGGTCAACTCGAACCCGACTCCATTGTGCAAACGGGTCAAAATCCTTAACCCGAACCCCAAATTTTTTGTTTGGTTTTCGGGTCAGGTCAAATATTGACACCCTTAGTCTTACATGTCGTTTATTTATTACAAATTAGATCGAGAGATTTGAACAAAGTTAGGGTTTACATCTTTGTATTTGATATGGAAGGTCTACGAGACTTGAGATTCATCTATTTGATATGATGTTAGCTTAAAATTTGGGCCTAATGGTCTTTTTGCATAACCTGATGATTGCTAGAGAAGGTTTGGAAGGATTGATATTCATGAATTTGGTACACATATACCACAATTTAAGTCAAAGCTTGTCTAGACATGAAAATTTGTTTGGAAATGAAGGGTTTATCATTAAAAGAATAATAATATCAAATTTCAAACTGTTATAAATTTATGCTGGTGTCCCTATCATGATATGGGTGTTAAGAATTATTTTGAGCTTTGTTTAAGGAAATTGATTCATGGTATAGTTGGATACATGCTTTGTTATTAAAACCAAATCATGATCGTCGGATTGTTGATCCAATGGTCAGCGAAGCTTTCAATATTATGTGGGTGATTACTTAAAATATTTTTATGCAAATTAAACTATTATGAGTTTGTTAAAATCGTTGTATTAGTGACGACAGTAGTGTTTTATAAAATTGATTGTGTTATTATTGTGGAAAAAGCTACTTAGCTACTATGATTGTAGGAAGTAAATTTTCATTACAGAAATTTCTAAAAAGAATTGAGAAAATAACATAAAAGCAATATTCAAATGAAATTCTGATTGATATCTGAAAAGCAAAATAGTAAAAAAGTTGCTTGAAATAGATTCTAAACAACTTATTGATGAACAGTCAATATTTATCATGCTTTTTAACATAAAAAAATGCTTTTTGACATAATACTATAAAAAACAGGAAAACAACAATAACAACAACAATAACAACATCAAGCCTTTATCCCACTACGTGGGGTTGACTATAGGAATCCTTTTTCTCCATTGTGTCCTATTAAAAGTCAATTTCTCGTTTAAATCTAATAAAGAAAGGTCATTCCTAATATTTTCTCACCAAGTCTTTTTAGGTCTACCCCTACCTTTCTTAACTTAAGTCAAATCTAATACCTCTACTCTCCTAATCGGGTCATCAGGAAAGGCCGCCTTTTTATGTGACTAGCAAACCATCCTAGAGGCCGACTCTTTTCTAATCTTATCTCTATTGAGAGCAACTCAACTCTTCATTTCGTCCAGTGCTCTAAGGTAAGCACTCATCACCTGAGCATCCTCAACTCTACAGCACCTTAACTTAGTATTATGCCTTCTCTTTTAATGGCCAACATTTGGCACCATAAAGCATTGCAGGTCACTACCACTTATAGAATTTTTTCCTTAAGTTTGAGGAGTACATTTTCTATCACATAACAACCCCGATGCGTTCTTCCTACTTCAACAATCCAACTTTGATTCTGCTGATAATATCCACATCTATATTTCACCATCACACTGAACAATAGATCCAGGATATCTAAAACGTGTACTTTATTAATGATTTGATCGCCCAAAGTTTACAATCCCTCTCTAGTCTAATTACAACTAAAATTATACTCCATATATTACGCTTTTTTTTAGATCTACTCAAGCGAAAACTTTTAGACTCTAAGGTTGACATCCATAATTCAAGTTTACCTTCAACTCCCTCTCTAGTCTTATCAACAGAAGAAATATCATCAGCAAAAAGCATACACCAAGGTACATCCTCTTGTAATGTCTAGTGAGAACATCCATAGCTAAAGCAAAAAGATATGAGCTTAAGGCTGATCCTTGATGTAACCCAACCGAAATTGGGAAATACTTGGTCAATCCACCTTGTGATTTGAACACAAGTAATAGCCTCCTCGCATACATATCTTTCAGGATTTGAATATAAGCACTTATTGACTCCTTTCTTTTCAGAATCTCTCCATAGCACTTCTTTGAACTTTATCAATATGATTTTTCTAAATCAATAAATATCATATGTAGATATATTTCTCCATCAAACCTCTTAATAAATGTATGGCTTCCATAGCCGACCTACCCGGCATGAATCCAAATTGATTTGAGAAACATCAGTATCACGACGCCGCAGCCTATGCTCCATAACTCGCTCCCATAATTTTTAAAGTATGACACATTAACTTAATACCTTATTAATTCGCACAATCTTGTGCATCACCTTTATTCTTAAAAATAGGAATTAACACACTAAATTCTCCACTCATTCTGGCATCTTTGTAGTCTTCAAAATAGTATTAAAAAGTTTAAGTAAGCCATGAATTTCCTTCATCTCCTAAGCATTTCCAACCTCTATTAGAATATCATCAAGGTCCAACAGCTTTCAACCCTTCATTTTCTTTAATGTTCAGCTCTAAACTTCAGTTATACAGTATACCTAATACGCGATAAAAACAGAAATTTTTATTTTCATTTAGTGTGCTAAGGTCACTATAGTCAATCTTATTTTTGCAATCTTCATTAAAAAGTTTAGCAAAATATCTCATCCACCTTTGTTGAATATCATCTTCTAAGAAAAATATTTTTTGATCTTCATCCTTACTACACTTGACTTGAACTAAATCCTTACTACTATCTCTTTGTTTGGCTAACTTATACATATATCTTTCTCCCTCTTTAGTATCTAATCTATTATATAAATCACTAAAAGCTAATGTCTTTGCATCGCATATTTCTTTCTTAGCATCCTTACGAGCAACTTTATATATTTCCCAATTATCAATTTTTTAACAATTAAAGTCAATTTTTATAACAAAATTTCTTATTTTTAATCTTTTTTTGCACATTTGGATTTCACCACTAATTATTTTTACTATTAGGAGCTTTTCCTTTTGATACTATAAGGATATCTTTTGCAATATTCTTAATATCACTAGTCATTTTTTCCCACATAACATTAGCATCCTTATGCACAGACAAAATCTTAAGATCTAAAATCTTATTCTAAAAAATATTTTTTGTTAATATTCTTTAAATGGCCCCATCTAATCCTAGAAAATCGTTTTACTTTATTTTTTTATATGCCCCTTTATCTTAAAATTCTAAACTAATAATCGATGTTGTGTACATAAATTTTTACTCGGAATAACTTTGCAATCTTTGCAATCTAAACGATTTAATTTTCTAATAAGAAAATAGTCAATCTGGGTTGTACTATATCCATTTTTATAAGTGATGAGATGCTCATTCATTTTCTAATAGAGCATCAAAA